ATAGATAGATAGATAGGTAGATATCTATATAGGTAGAGAGGTAGATAGATAGATAGATAGGTAGATAGATAGATAGATAGATAGATAGATAGATAGGTAGATAGATAGATAGATAGATAGGTAGATAGATAGATAGATAGATAGATAGATCGGTAGATAGATAGATAGATAGATAGATAGATAGATAGGTAGATAGGTAGATATCTATATAGGTAGATAGACAGATATTTAGATGTTTAGATAGGTTGATAAATAAATAGATAGAGATAGAGAGAGAGAAAGAGGAAGGGAGGACAAACGGATATAGAGAAATTATTTTTTTTTTTTAATATATACATTTATATGTAGGTAGATAGATAGATAGATAAATAGATATAGGTAGATAGATGGATATATAGATAGATAGACAGATGGATAGATAGAGAAATAGATAGACTAATAGATAGACATAGATATAGATGTAGATATAGATATAGATGTAGATATAGATGTATATATATGTATATATGAAGAGAGAGAAGCGAAGATAAAGAGAAATATAAAGGAAACGAAAGAAAAACATAAAAATCCAACCCCAGGAGTTAAGAAGAGCATAATAAGTAAATAACCCTGATAAAAAGAGGGTAGAGGAGAGAGAGAAAGAAATACGCCATCCATCATTTACGTCTGACAGGTGTGAGGGAAGAGGGGGGGAGGGAGGGAGAGAGAGGAGGGAAGGGAGTGAGGAAAAGGAGGGAAGGGAGGGAAGGAAGGGAAGTGAGAGGAGGGAAGGGAGGGAGGAAGGGAGGGAGAGAAGGGAAGGGAGGAGGAGGGAAGGAGGGAAGAGGGAGTGAGGAAGGAGGGAAAGGAGGGAAGGGTGAAGGAAAGGAGGTAAGGGAGGGGAGGAAGGGAGGGAAGAGGAGGGAGGGAGGGAGGGAAGGAGGGAGGGAAGGAGGGGAAGGTGGGAAAGGAAAGTGGGAGGGAAGGGGGGAGGGAAGGAGGGAAGGGAGGGAGAGAAGGGAGGGAGGAGGAAGGGAGGGAGAGAAGGGAAGGGAGAGGAGGGAAGGGAGGGAGAGAAGGGAGGGAGGGAGGGGTGGAAGGGAGGGAGAGAAGGGAGGGAGGGAGGGAAGGGAGGGAGAGAAGGGAAGGGAGGGAGGGAAGGGAGGGAGAGGAGGGAAGGGAGTGAGGAAGGAGGGGAAGGGAGGGAGAGAAGTGAGGGAAGGGAGGGAAGGGAGGGAGAGAAGGGAGGGAGGGAGGGAAGGGAGGGAGAGAAGGGAAGGGAGAGGAGGGAAAGGGAGGGAGAGGAAGGGAGGGAGGGAAGGGAGTGGAAGGGAGGGAGAGAAGGGAGGGAGAGAGGGAAGGGGAAGGGAAGGGAGGGAGGAAAGGGAAAGGGAAGGAGGGAAGGGAGGGGAGGAAGGGAGTGAGGGAAGGATGGAAGGGAGGGAGGAGGAAAGGGAGGGAGGAGGAAGGAGGGAAAGGAGGGAAAGGAGGGGAGGGAGGAAAGGAGGGAAGGGAGGGGAGGAAGGGAGGGAGGGAGGAGGGAGGGAGGGAAGGGAGGGAGGGAGTGAGGGAAAGGAGGAAGGGAGGGAGAGGAGGGAGGGAGGGAGGGAGGAAAGGAGGGAGGGAGGGAGAGGAGGGAAGGGAGTGAGGGAAAGGAGGGAAGGGAGGGAGGGAAAGGAGGGGAGGGAGGGGAGGAGGAGGAGGAAGGAGGAGGGAGGGAGAAGAGGAGGAGGAAGAGAGGAGAGGAGGAGGAGGAGGAAGAGAGGAGAGGAGGAGGAGGAGGAAGGGAGGGAAGGAGGGAAGGGAGGGAAGGAGGGAAAGAAAGGAAGGGAAAAAAGGGAAAGGAGGGTAGACTGAGGACAAGGAGGGAAGGGTGGAAAGGATAAAGAGGAAAAGGAAGAAACGGAAAGGGAGAGGAGGGAAATAGCGGAACAGAGGGAAAGGAGGGAGAGAAGAGAAGAGAGAAAAGACGGGAGGAGACGAGGAGAGAAGAGAAGAGAAGAAGAGATCCGAGGAGAGAAGATATCCGAGGAGAGAGGAGAGAAAGAGAGAAGAGACGAAAAAAGAAGAAAGCAAAGTAGAGTAAAAGATAGAACAGAGGAAAGACGAGAAGAGAAGAGAAGAGAAGAGCAGAGGAGAGAAAAGAAAAGACGAAACGAGACGAGAAGAGAAAAGATGAGAAGGGAAGTAAAAGAAAAACAAAATAAAACGAGATAAAAGAGAAGCGAAGATAAAAAAAAAAACGTGAAGAGAAAGGAAGAAAAGAGAACAGACGAAAAAGAGAAGAAGAAAGAAGGGAAGACAAGAGAACAGACGAAAAAGAGAAGAAGAGAGAAGGGAAGAGAACAGAAGAGAACAGACGAAAAAGAGAAGAAGAAAGAAGGGAAGACAAGAGAACAGACGAAAAAGGGAAGAAGAGAGAAAGGAAGAGAAGAGAACAGACGAAAAAGAGAAGAAGAGAGAAAGGAAGAGAAGAGAACAGACGAAAAAGGGAAGAAGAGAGAAAGGAAGAGAAGAGAACAGACGAAAAAGAGAAGAAGAGAGAAGGGAAGAGAAGAGAACAGACGAAAAAGGGAAGAAGAGAGAAAGGAAGAGAAGAGAACAGACGAAAAATCGAAGAAGAGAGAAAGGAAGAGAAGAGAACAGACGAAAAAGAGAAGGAGATAGAAAGGAAGAGAAGAGAACAGACGAAAAAGAGAAGAAGAGAGAAAGGAAGAGAAGAGAACAGACGAAAAAGGGAAGAAGAAAGAAAGGAGAACAAGTAGGCAAGACCACTCCAAAATTTGTTACATGAGATCACCTCGCGTTTACTTACGTCATTCATGTCCGCGTGACGTCACTGTCGTCGTACCAACACCGGCGTAAGTGTAACGACAAGGACTTCCCTGTAAGTACGGGGCGAGAGGAGCAAGGGAGGAGGAGGAGGAGGAGGAGAGTAAGAGAGGAGGAGGAGAGTAGGAGGAGGAGGAGGAGGAGGAGAGCAAGAGAGGAGGAGGAGGAGAATAAGAGAGGAGGAGGAGAGCAAGAGAGGAGAGGGAGGAGGAGGAGAGTAAGAGAGGAGGAGGAGGAGGAGGAGGAGGAGGAGGAGAGGAAGAGAGGAGTAGGAGAGGAGGAGTAGGCAGGAAGAAGAGAAGAGGAATAGGGAGATAGCACACACACACACACACACACACACACACACACACACACACACACACACACACACACACACACACACACACACACACACACACACACACACACACACACACACACACACACACACACACACAAACACACACACACACACACACACACACACACACACACACACACACACACACACACACACACACACACACACACACACACACAAACACAACCACATATTAAGGGACACAGACAGAGAAAGAAGGAGATAGAGGAAGGTGGATAGGAAGGAGAGGAAGAGAGAGAAAGGAGAAGTGAAGGAAGGACGAAGCCTAAGTAGATCTAAGGCCATGAACACCGACCACCTACCCGCGCGGATATGTTGTGGATGTATCGTTTGGAAGAAGCAATGACGGGGAGATATAACAGCATCGTGGAATCGGATATGCTGTTTCGCGGGCGCTTATGTTGTTGTTATGTTGTTGTTGTTGTTGTTGTTGTTTTGGTGTTGTGTCTTGTTTTTTACGGTCTCTTTGTCATACATCTACGTGTGTTCGGTTTTGCGTTATGGTTATGTGGTTGTTCGTTATCGTGTTATCGGTGTTATGGTTGTATTTCGTTCTCGTGTTAGGCGCATGGCGGAAAATTTCCTCGCGTGAGGATGACAGTGGAATAGATACGGCTCTGCATGATACTAGTTTTAGAGTATCATGCAGAGTCTCATAGTGTATCATGAGCCCTTCCTTCGTGGTAAAAAAAAAAAAAAATAGCACTGGTTTTACGTCAACGAGCGTGCCACAAAAAATTGGCACTCTCCAAAGCCGAGCGGAAACCTTGCGTGTGAGGTCTCTTCCCTCCGGCACTATGGGGTTGAGTGGCACTGTGCCTGGGAACTACGGGGCCACTGGGGGCTTCGTTGGAGGTTTCCTATTGGCACTCACGCTCTCTCGACTCTCTCCTCCTGCCGCGTTTCGGAAACTCTAGACTGGGCGCTCTCTTGCTTGCATTTCTTTCTTTGTTTCTTTTGTTTGTCCTTGTTTCGACGGTCTTTGTTTGTTTGTTGTCTGTTTATTTTGGCTGTCTCTGCATGCTTGTCTGTCTGTTTATTTTGGTTGTCTCTGCATGCTTGTCTGTCTGTCTGTCTGTCTGTCTGTCTATCTCTCTCTTTCTCTCTCTCTCTCTCTCTCTCTCTCTCTCTCTCTCTCTCTCTCTCTCTCTCTCTCTCTCTCTCTCTCTCTTACTCTTTCTGTCTCCCTCCCCCTCCTCTCTCTTCCAGCACCCCTCTCTTTCTCTCTCCCCCCTCTCTCATTCTCTCTTTCTCTTCCTCTTTCTGTCTCCCTCCTCCTCTCTCTTCCAGCCTCTCCCCTCCTCTCTCTCTCTCTCTTCCTCCCTCTCTCTCTCTCTTCCTCCCTCCCTCTCTCTCTCTCTCTTCCTCCCTCTCTCTCTCTCTTTCTCCCTCTCTCTCTCTCCCTGTCTCTCTGTTTATCTCTCTCCTCCTTTCCCTCCCTCCTCCTCCTCATCCCTCATCTCCCTCCCCCTCCTCCTCATCCCTCATCTCCCTCCTCCGCTGCAAGTACCAACAGCGTAAACTCCCTTTGCACGAACAGGGAAATTCATTACGAAGTTACGAACACCAACAAGGGCCGTTTTCGCATCATTGGAGGCTGTCGGCACAAGAGGAATCCTGTTTCTGGTCTCTCCTGTTTCTGGTCTCTGTGCTTGTGGTTCGTTTCTGGTCTCTGTGCTTGTGGTCTCTCCTATGTTTGGTCTCTGTGCTTGTGGTCCGTTTCTGGTCTCTGTGCTTGTGGTCTTCGATTTTTGGTCTCTGTGCTTGTGGTCTTCGATTTTTAGTCTCTCTGTTTGTGGTCTCTCCATTTCTGCTTTCTCTGCTCATGGTCTCATATTTCTGGTCTCTTCCTTCTGGTCTCTTTATGTAAGGTCTATTTCTGGTCTCTTCCTTCTGGTCTCTTTATGTAAGGTCTATTTCTGGTCTCTTCCTTCTGGTCTCTTTATGTAAGGTCAATTTCTGGTCTCTTCCTTCTGGTCTCTTTATGTAAGGTCAATTTCAGGTCTCTTCCTTCTGGTCTCTTTATGTAAGGTCTATTTCTGGTCTCTTCCTTCTGGTCTCTTTATGTAAGGTCTATTTCTGGTCTCTTCCTTCTGGTCTCTTTATGTAAAGTCTATTTCAGGTCTCTTGCTTCTGGTCTCTCTATTTACGGTCTCCTATTTCTGGTCTCTCTATTTACGGTCTCCTATTTCTGGTTTCCAATTTCTGGTCCGTATGCTCCTGGTCTCCTACCCCTAGTCTCCTACCCCTGGTCCCCTACCCCTGGTCTCCTGCTCCCCCCTTACCTGCTGTTTGGGTACGCTTCCCCTCAGAGTTAGGAGCTGACGACATGGCTCAGCAGAAAGCAGGCGAGCGTAGCAGGGATATCGGTAACTTCCAGAGTGATTGCAAAGCAGGTGATTAAATTTCTGTCAATGTGGGTGGGTGGGTGGGTGGGGGGAGTTCTTTTCCTCTTTTGGGGGGAGGAGGGGGGGAGTGGAGAGGGGAAGGGAAGGGAAAGGAGAGGAGGGGAAAGGAGGGGAAGGGGAGGGGAGTGGAGAGGAGAGTGGAGTGGAGGAGATGGGAGAGAAAGGGAAGGGAGAGGAGTGGAGAGGGGAGGAGAGGAGTGGGGAGGGGAGGAAAAGAGAGGGGAGAGAAAGTGGAGAGTGGAGAGGGGAGGGGAGGGGAGGACAGACATAGATGAAAGAGAGAGGAAGGAAGGAAACGAAGTAGAAGGAAATGAGAGAGATGCGAGAGGAAGAAGGAACCATTGATGTAACAAAACAACAACACCAACAAAAAAACAACTCAAGACACAAGTATCACAGATAATAAAGAATAATAGAGAACAAGAGATAATAACAGAGAAAGGGAGATAAGCCCATGAACCCCCCCCCCCTATTGCACGCGCCCGCCCTGACTTTGTTAATGGGCGGCTGTTAACACGGTCCCCATTGGCCATAAAGTAGGCATAAAGCACGTATTGTGGCCTTCTTTTACGCCCAATGGCCCTGGGGTGGGCGTAACGAGGGGCGAGCCAACGAGGGGAGATGGGGAGGGGGGGGGATTAGTTGTGAGGGAAGAGGGAGGGGAGAGAGGGATAGGGAGAGAGGGAGAGGGAGGGGAAAGGGAGGGGGAGAGAGGGATAGGGAGAGAGGGAGAGGGAGGGGAAGGGAGGGGGAGAGAGGGATGAGGAGGGAGGGAGGGGGAGAGAGGGAGGGGGAGAGAGGGAGAGGGGAGAGAGGGAGAGGGAGAGAGGGGAAGAGGGATGGGGGAGAGATGGAGGGAGGGGGAAAGGGAAGGGGAGAGATGGATGGGGGAAACGGGGGAGGTGGAGAGAGGAAGAGGGGAGGGAAGGAGGGGAGAGAAGGAGGGGAGAGAGAGAGAGAGGGGAGAGATGGATGAGGGAAAGGGGGGGAGGTGAGGAGAGGAGGAGGGGAGAGAAGGAAGGGTGAAAGGAGGGGAGAGGAGGGGGTTAGTAGGAGGGGGGGAAGAAGGAAAGGTAAAGAAAGAGGAGAGAGAGAGGGGAAACCAAGGGGGAAAAGGAGTATGGAGAAGATTACGTAAGCAGCAAGGGAACGTTTAGATCTTAAGGGAATAGATGTATTGTGATGTTTGGGGAAGGAGAACGCGAAGGGGAAGATAAGGGAGGGAGATCTGAGGGGAAACAGAGAGAGAGAGAGAGAGAGAGAGAGAGAGAGAGAGAGAGAGAGAGAGAGAGAGAGAGAGAGAGAGAGAGAGAGAGAGAGAGAGAGAGAGAGAGAGAGAGAGAGAGAGAGAGGAAGGGTTGGCGTTGATGCTAAAGAGGGGAGAGTGCGAGGGAGAGATTGATTTTGGCGAGGAGAGCGAAGGAGGGGGGGAGGGGGGAGGAGGAGGAGGAGAGGTAGGGCGATGGTATGAGGTATTTATGAGGGAAGTTGATGTGAGGGGAAACGGAGACAAGGAAAGGTAGACATGAGGGCTGGTTTGGGCAAGTTCTGGCAAAGATAGTGGATAGGAAAGAGAGATGCGTGTATGTGTGTGTGTATACATGTAAGTATATGTATATATGTATGGATGTATGTAGGTGTATGTATATATGTATGCACTTATGTATGTATACATGCATACCTAAATGTGTACGTGCGCGCGCGTGTATGTATGTATGTATTTGCATATATACATGACTGTATGTAGGTGTGCACGCATGAAGGCAAAGTGAACGTCTTCATTTCAACAAAGAATGACATGTTGACGTTATATTTCATGCAATTTTCCTCTTCAGAATTGCATTTGCGAAAACAGCTTCATTTGAGATCACAAAGAAAAGTGCGCGAGTGAGGAGGAGGCTGTGAGGAAAAAAAAAGCCTAAATGAGGAAAGATGAGGCAGACATGAGGAGGAATATTAGGTGTATGTGTTATGAGTGTATGTTGGGGTATGTGGGCATGTGGTATAACTAATGGTCTGGTTTGTGGATTAGATGAAAAGATAAGAAAAAAAAAATTTGTCGTCAGGAATAGTATGGGTTATGCAGGGATTTGTGATGTTGATAGAAAGATCAGTGATATGAGAGATAAGAGAATGATAATAATGATAATGAGAGAGAGAGAGAGAGAGAGAGAGAGAGAGAGAGAGAGAGAGAGAGAGAGAGAGAGAGAGAGAGAGAGAGAGAGAGAGAGAGAGAGAGAGAAAGAAACAGAGAGAGAGAGAGGAGAAGAGAAGAGAAGAAAAGAGAAGAGAAGAGAAGAGAAGAGAAGAGAAGAGAGATAAAGATAGAGAGAAACAGAAAAAAAGAGAAGAGAAAGAGAAAGATCAAATCCGCAGAATCACCAACGCGCACTCCCCGCCCGCTCGGAAATCGTCCAGAAAAAAAAACTAAAAAAAAAACTAAAAAAAGAAAAAAAACGAAATCCTAATTAAACGAGGCAAGGACACAGCAGCAGAACCCAACAGTCGCGAGGAAGCCCCAGACGAGATATCCTGCTGACTCCAGAGAGACATCTTCAAGCGACAATTAAAAAGGTCAGCAAAGGAGAGAAAAAAAAAATTCAGTGTTTCCAACTTGAAAAGGATCTTCGTCTCAACTTTGTGTGGACGTTGGTGGCGCTGCAGAAGAAGGAAGGGGAGAAGTTCTTATAGAAAATTATCAGTGACTTGTTTGTTATCGTTGCTACTGTTATTGGTGTATAGTTATATTATAATTAAGATTACTATCATAGCCACTTTTACTACTATAACATTTATTACAGTTATCCGTTTTACTGTTATCACTATCATTTTTCTCACATCTTTTACCATTATGTATATATGCATATGTGTATACACACACACACACACACACACACACACACACACACACACACATATATATATATATATATATACATATATATATATATATATATATATATATATATATATATATATATATATATATATATATATATATATATATATAATACACACACACACACACACATCAGATCACAACAAACAGTCAGTGAAGTTATTTCCCTCAAGGAATTTCTCACACCACTTCACAGCCCTTCAAAATTCACTTCACCGAATCTATTTAATATTTCACGGAATTCACCTAATCACTGAATATAAAATAAGAAATACAAGATGAAAAATAAACGTACATACAAAGCGTTCGGATTGAGGAGCTTGGCGTAGAGTGGCAAAGCAAAGAATGGCAACCACAGACGACCGGTTGACATAGGGGCTTTGGTTGATCTGAAGCTGCCATCCGAACGAGTGGAGGAGAACCAAAAGAACACACTCGGACACTTCGAACACTCAACAAATAACAAATAATAAAAATATAAAGTAAAAATAAAATAAAATAAAATAAAATAAAAAACAAATATAAAACAAATAAGATATAGCGAAGTCATCACTATGACACCATAAACCCTCCACAATATATATATACACATATATCTATCTATCTATATCTATCTATTTATATCTATCTGTCTATCTATCTATATCTATCTATTTATATCTATCTGTCTATCTATCTATATCTATCTGTCTATCTATCTATATCTATCTATCTCTCTATCTATATATATCTATCTATCTATAGCTATCTATATCTATCTATCTATCTATATCTATCTATCTATCTATATCTATCCATCTATCTATCTATCTATATATATCTGTCCATCTATCTATCCATCTATCTATCTATCTACATCTATCCATCCATCTATCTATCTATCTCTCTATCTCTCTATCTATCTATCAGTCTATATCTGCAATTATTCGGAATACCTTCGCATGCCTGATCACGGCGATATAGGTATATATGGATCCCTCTCATTCGCTTCTATCCAAAATACATTGCAAATATACCGAGGAACATGCGTTTGGCTATATATTGACTAATTCTATGTATATCGTTCGCATTTTACCCCCGAATTTCCCTGCTACCATTCATAACCCCCCCCCTGCTATCGGGGCCAAGGTTGTGGGTATTGGTGGTGGTGGGGGGGGGGGGTCCGCGGCATAATTTCTATATATTGGGATAGTAGAGACTGGGAGGAATTTAGTGATACCAATATCGTCGTGATCGGGTATTCTAAATATTTGCCATTTTACATAAACACACACATATATATACGTGTGTGTGTGTATGCGAGAGTATATGTGTGTGTGAGTATATGTATGTGTGTGTGTGTGTCTGTGTGTGTGTGTGTGTGTATGCTAGAATATATGTGTGTGTGTGTGAGTATATGTATGTGTGTGTGTGTGTGTGTGTGTGTGTGTGTGTGTGTGTGTGTGTGTGTGTGTGTGTGTGTGTGTGTGTGTGTGTGTGTGTGTGTGTGTGTGTGTGTGTGTGTGTGTGTGTGTGTGTGTGTGTGTGTGTGTGGTTACGTGGTCTTATGCAGATAGCCTATCTTCATTTGTTTTCCCAACCTTTCCACACACCATATGAGGTTCTAAGTTGCACTAACAAATACTTCAATGGTTCCTGCTGCTAAATCTGCAATCCTTTCCTTATAAATCACGCTATCTTGAGTTCTTTCTTTAATTCTCATATTTCTTTCGCTCTCTCCCTTCTTCATTCCTTTATTTCAAGTCTTGTTATCTCCTAGGATGCAATTGTCAATTATCTTGCATTTTTCCTTCTTCCTTTTCTGCAACAACTATATCTAGCCTTTAATTCTTTAATTCCCCATCTTTCTCTATCCTTCCTTATTCCTTCACCTCAACTCTCGTTATTTCCTGGGGTTGCAAATGTCAATTAATTTGCATTTTCCCTTCCTACTTTTTCCTACAACTCTACCTAGCTTTTTTCGAACACTTTTCATGACATCCAAATTATAACTCCCTTCTCAGTTCCAACAATACCTTTGGAGGAGAGAGAAGGTATTCGTACCAGGTACCCCCCCCCCCCCACCCCTCTCGCCTCGGGTCTTAATTTC